TGGCGAAGCCTGTCAGGGCGTACAGCGGCGGGATGAAGAGGAGACTCAGCGTGGCCATCTCGCTGATCGGCAATCCGCTGGTGGTGTACATGGACGAGCCGAGCACGGGACTCGATCCCGCGTCGAGGAACAACCTGTGGCAGGTCGTGAAGGAGGCGAAGAGAGGCAGGGCGATCATCCTCACCACTCATTCCATGGAGGAAGCGGAGGTACTGTGCGATCGCCTCGGCATTTTCGTTGACGGCCAGTTCGCGTGCATCGGCAACCCCAGGGAGCTGACGGCTCGGTACGGCGGCACGTACGACCTGACAGTCACGACCCCGCCGGGAGAGGAGTCGGCCGTCGAAGCGCTCGCTCTGTCTCTCTCTCACCGTGCGAAGAAAGTATACTCCCTTGGAGGAACGCAGAAATTCGAGCTCCCCTCGTCGGAGGTGGACCTGGCCGACGTCTTCAATGCCATCGAACGAGCAAAGACCAAGATCAACATCCAAGCCTGGGGCATAGCCAACACCACGTTAGAGGATGTCTTCATCAAAGTAGCGAAGAAGGAGGGAGAAATTCTCCATTAAGAAGAAGCTCTCTCTCTCTCTCTCTCTCTCTCTCTCTCTGTGTGTGTGTCTCTCTTTCATTCCTCTGGGTCAACTGTCCGTTGTGCTTGTCAATTTTCTTAATGACGGGTTGCTCCTTTTCCTTTTGATTTATTTTTAGATCTATTTATTTGCTCGTTTATTTATTTAGTTTTCGATCTGTTAATAACACCTTATTATCCCCCTTTTCTGTCTCTGGCCTTTTCATTTTGCCTGCCTTATTTCTCTTATGCGAACGCGCGTCAGAAGATCTTCGCCGCGACGCCGCGACGCCGCGACCCGGGTCGAGGTCCCGCTTGCCTCACAAACACATAATCTCGGTAAGTGGGACATTACCCCGGACCTCGCTTCTCTCTCTCTCTCTCTCTCTCTCTCTCTCTCTCTCGCTCTCACACACACACACACACACATGTCGATTTCTGCGTACCCGTGTGTTTTGTTAACATTATAATTTTGGAGTGAGTGAATGGCATTAAGCCTCGCTCGCTCCACTACTCTCCGTATGTACAATGGCGGTGTATCTTCCCATGTTCTAGGGGAAGATTCATTCTCATTTTGCACATTTGGTGAGTAGTGGAGCGACGCCCGTTGAAGGACCCTTCCCTTGTTTGCCATCGGCAATTTGGAAAGGCGGGGTCTGTTACACGAGTACATAGATGTCAAATGATTTTTAAATATATATATTTTTTTCACGTGGTATGATTATTTTTAATGCGCGGTCGAATTTGGGTGCCTAATTTTATCCAGAGGGGTTGAGTTTGCTCGATCCCCGAATAGAACGCCCCCCCGGTGTGGTCGATCGCTTTTTCTTACGATGAAGGGAATGCTGTTCACCTGTTGAATGCGATCCGCATTCCCTTGGGATGGAGGTTTTTCGAAAAGGATCTTTTTTATTCCGGAAAATTTTAAAGCAAAAGGGAAAAAATTCAAAAAAAATAAATAAAAAGAAGTAGAGTAAAAAAAGGAAGACGCAGCTTTCATAGTGAGAAGGAACTCTTGTAGAAACTGTTTTTGATTTTAATTAAAATTTATCAAAATTTATGTAACTATTGGTTTTTCTTATTTTTGAAGTTGGGGCCAATTTTGTAATTTCTTTGCTGCTCTGATTTCGGGAATTGGACCGGCCCGCGTCTGCAGCGACGGGCGTCAGATTAAATTTTTGAGTGCGGACTTAGTGTGTGTGCGAAGCCTTTTTTTTTTTTTTTTCTGAGAAGGGATTTTTTTGACCGTGTTTTTTTTTCCTTTGAAGTCTGTGTGTTCTTTCCTTGTGTTTTTTTCTCTTCGGGAGTCGTCGGTTTTATTTTTGGAATCATGTTTTTTATTTTGTTTTTTTCGAAGTTAGTGTTGTTTATCCTTCTTTTTTTTTTTTTTTTTTTTTTTTCTTTCTTGAACCAGTCAGTCTGCTGGCGGGAGTGGTGAATCGAGCCCCTTCCGCAGGTAGCCAGTCCATTGGTGCCCCAATCTAATGGTGAGTGTTTTTTTTTTTTTTTTTTTTAATGGTGAGTTTTCCAAGTCCGTGTGACTACCCTTTGTTTTTTTGTTTTTCTTTTTCGGAGTCTTTTGGCGGGAGAACAGGTATCCCGACCCTGGTTGCAGCATCCCATATGGTATCGGAAAAGAATTGTTTTTTTTTTTTCTTTTTTTTTTTCCCCCGGAATCTGAACAGAATTTCGAACAAGTACTTGCTGTCTGATTCTGTCCTGAGGCCCCTGTTCCGGGGCCCAAGTCCCACAAGTCCCACTTACTCTGATACCTCATTTCTGGCCGCTGATCATCGTAATGTACGGTCAGCAGTTGAGAATTTGGGTAAGTGGGACTTGGGCCCCGGGGGCATATGATAACTCTGGGAGCCCCCCCCCAAGGATTTCCCACCTGGGCCCATGTCCCATATGCACAGTGGAATTAGTTCTAGTGTGCGACCTTGTGTGACCGCTACGATTTTAGTGTTTTCGGTTTCTGTGCATCCATCGGTCGTTGTGGTAATTCCTGGGGCGTGGTCCCACTAGCAAAGAGGGTCGGATCGAATGCCTGAATCTGGAAGTGTTTGTCGAGAGGTGCAGGAAATCGGGATTGAACTGCTTTTCTGCATCTCTGCATAAAACACGTCCACATTCAGGCATTCGATCCGATCCTCTTTGCTAATGGGACCTCGGCCCTGGAAAGCATGTTCGCCTGTACTTGGTCTTAAAATAATGGACATGAAATCGTCTGAACTCGATTAGAACGCCCCCTAGCCTGCCCCTTTTCGGTAGAGTGGGGGAAATGCCCCTACGTTGTATTCGGGCGAAGAAGGTAGTTCCAACTATCGCCAGATTGTGTGGGGGAAATGAATCTGAGAGTTTATTGGGGGTCTTTGGGGGGATATCTGCCTCGATACCAACGGGTCTTGCTCAGTTGTCACCCTGAGTCAAGAACAAGGAACCAAGCTGCCTGACTACCATCTACCACCAAGCTGAAGACATTTGGGCCGGTAGTACCAAACGGCCTAACTTTGGGCGGCCAAAACCCAAAAGTTTTTTTTTTTTTTTTTTTTTTTTTTTTCTGAGAAGTTGAAAAGGTTTTGGCCTGAAAAGGTTTTGGCCTGGGCTGTTTCTACCACTTATCCCGTGCCTTCTGCTCCAAATGAGCTCTCCGGATTTCTCCCTCATCTCACCCAGAAGAATGCATCTCATCGAAAAGCCGGACCACAAACAGCACGACCGGGAGAATATCCGACACCCATAGGTCAAGTAATCCTACCCACAGGCAAAGGAGACGTCGAGAGGCAAACCGAGCCACAGAAAAGACACAACAGAACAAGCAGGTTTTTTTTTTTTTTTTTTTTTTTTTTTTTTGCAAAGTTTCAGACTTCATTCAAGCAGTTTTTCAATTGGTTTGTTTTTCGCTTCTCGAGTCCCTGGGACCTTGTCCCCCTTGCACCGTTTAGTTGAGTGCGACATCTACAAAAATTCATCCTAGTTCAATTTCAAATGAGAAATGGATTTATAAATGGCACCAATCTAGGCTACCAGCCGGGCCGCCCGGGTCCCGGATGGCCAGCCCGTGCAAGGGACCAAGGAAGGTCTCAGCAAAAAAAAAAAAAAAAAAACTATGTTATGCAGAAAAATAAACTGAACAACTTTTGCGTCAGGGTCACATCGAAATTCTCCACCAAATTTAGAATACAAAATAGACTTTAAAACTAATTCTTTTATTTTTATTATTATTATTTTTTTTGGCCCGGCCGGGCAAGTGACCCCGGCCCACTCTGGTAGCCTAGGCACCAATACAATTGTTCTGGTTTTTCTTTTTTCACACTTGGAGTGGCATACGGGCACTTCCATTCCACACCAGAAAATGAAAATGAAAATGAAGAGTGAGTTGCCAGAATCCCTTTTGTACCAAAAAAATGGCAAAGGGAACGAGGCTGGCGCGTACAGTTTCTCTAAAAAAACGCCCTTTGGGGGAACAAGAGGGTCGTTGAGCTAGCTGTCTCCAACGGAAAGTGGCGAGGGTAAGGGGAGTAGTATTCGAGAGAAAGGATTTACTTCTGCTTTTTGTTGTGAGAAAAAGCAAAGTTAGAGTTTTTAATTGAAAATGGACCGCTAGATGACTTGGACGACGTGCATCTCCATTGTTTTTGTTGTGAGAAAAAGCAAAGTTAGACTTTTTAATTGAAAATGGACTGCTAGATGACTTGGACGACGTGCATCTCCATTGTCGCGTACAGTCACACATCGTAGAAAGCCCAATGTTGACCTAGCTCAACGCAGCTAGTGGGACAAGGTCCCTGCACTCATGGAGATCGGGGTGGGTAAGGGAAAAAAAAAGAAGAAGAAAAGAGAACCATCGGCAATATCTCAGCCAACGGATCTGATCCGATCTGGGGAAAAACTGTCAACCGCCTTCATTGTTAATCTTTTTTTTTTTTTTTTTTTTTCCCTTTGTTTTTTCCCTTTCCCTTTTTTTTGTTTTTCCCGACGGAGCTGTTTGGGAATAGTCACGTCGTCGGTTGCCAACCTGTGTAAGGGGGTAGCGGCACTCGGCTGCATTTTTTATCTCTCCAATTTTTGTTTCTTTTTGTAAGTCATCTTGTCCTTAATTAATTACATGAAATCGGGGTAACCGGCCTTCGGGATGAGCCGAAGGCCTGAATCCGAACGGCCGAACGTATGGGACTACTTGGGGATGCGTTCGGCCAAGATTTGCCTGAGCATTACATCCAAATTCCTTACCAAATTTGAAATAAAAGTAAAATACGGAGAACAAATACTAATTAAAAAAAAAATAAAAAAATTTAGTGAGTGCGCGAGCACGTTTTTGACATCGCCATCTTTGGTGATTTTTTTTATTTTTTTGTTTTGGCATAGCTAAATGACCTCGCCCGAATCCGAACGCCCGAACGTATGGGACCCCTTGGGGATGCGTTCGGCCAAGATTTGCCTGAGCATTACATCCAAATTCCTTACCAAATTTGAAATAAAAATAAAATACACAGAACAAACACTAAAAAAAAAAAAAAAAAGAATTAAATGTAGCGAGTGAGCGAGCACGTTTTCGACATCGCCATCTTTGGCGATTTTTTTTTTTTTTTTGGCATAGCTAAATGCCCTGAAAATTTACAGATGTGTACTTCACATCATGCAAAACCCATGAAAAAAATTGTTTAGACCCCGAACTGAAGTGAAAACAAAAAGCAAAAAGTGAAAAAAAACGTGGGCCAGCACGTTTTGACACTGCCATCTCTGGCGATTTTTTATTCCTATTTGGCTGCGCCAAATGACTTGAAAAGTTATAGGCATGTACCTCACCTCATAGAGAACTCACGAAAAAAAATTCAGAAAAAAAATATATATGTTTAGGTACCAAAATATTTTTTGGCGGGGGCCGAACGCCGTCGGGTTCGGACCCCGTACTGGACCCCGAACGCCCGTACGTACAGAGGTCGGCCTGGGGACCACTGTACGTACGGACTGGTGACCCTGCATGAAATGTATTATTATTATTATTTTTTTTACCCTTTTCTACGCTCCATCGCTCGACTGCCAAGGTAGAGGAAAACAACAAATAGTGATTGATTACCACCAGCATGTCGATTTTTTTTTTTTTTTTTTTAAATAGTAGTAATTATCAGCCACATGCGGAAATTCGCAGGATGGATGACAGTCTTTGACAGCTTCCCCCCAATAGAACGCACCCTCCTCATGTCTTGTCCGACGGGAACTCGTCGTGAGGCTGCATTGTGTTCGAGGGAAAGATGGTAGTCAACATTTGACACGATTCACACTTTTTTTTTTTTTTTTTTTTTTTTTTTGTCCCCGCTTACCACCAGTTGCATCATGGCAGGTACAGTACCCCCCCTACGTAC